CTGGGTGGCTCAGTCGGTTAAGCCTCCAAATTCAGCTCAGGTCATGATTGCGTGCTTTATGAGTTTGAGCCCTGTGTCAGGCTCTGTGCTGACAACTCAGAGCTTGGAGCCTGCTTTGGATTCTGTGTCTCCCTCTCTCTGTGTCCCTCCCCTGTTTGACTCTGTCTCTCTCTCTCTCAAAAATAAATACACATTTAAAAAAGAGAGAGAGAGAGAAAGGAGAAATTTCACATGCAGACCTCTCCCCAACAGGGCCTAGTTTGTCTTGCTCACTGTGATAGCACGTGTCACAGCAGGGAAGCTAACACCTGGCACCTGACAGAAGAGGAGGGCTTGCCTGCCCCTCCTCTCTCACAAGCCTCCACTCTCATGACTGCCATGACTGACCGCATTGAAGCCATCCCAGGCTTAAGCTGCAGCTAAAAATGTCACCTGTTTGGAGGCTCCCTAACCCTTCACCCCTAAGTACCATCTGCTGTCCACAGAGCACTTCTTACCATTTCTGGCTACAGATTCAAGGTCCCTCCTTTGCTGAGCCTGAGCTCTGCGAGGCCAGGGACTGGGTCTCCACAAGAGCCCTGGTGCCTAGCACACACCTGCATACCCGAAGCACTCAATAAATGCTCACCAAGTAAATGAGTGCAGGCCTGGAGAAGAGGAAAGGCTGCCATAGGCGGACAAGAAAAGTGAGGACTTTCTAGGCAATTTAAGAAGCAGAATCAGATTGACAGGGAAACTCAGGACCACCATGAGTGAGGGAGGGTCCAGTGAAGACATGTGGCCCAGTTTCCAACCAGATGCTGGGATATCCCAGCTCAGAGCTGCAGGGGAACGGGGAATGGGATGAGTGGTGGGGAGGCCAGCACGGAGACCAATCAAAAGACACTGGTCCCCTCTCCACTCATCCAGAGACTGGCTATGTGTGAGGTTCATCCCGGATGCAGCTGGGGAAAATAGACATGAAGTGGCTGATACACCTCAGGGTGAGGGCTGGTATGCTAGGACTTAGCTCAGGCTCTGGTTTTGGAGGGTAGAGTGGGGCAGTACCCCAGGTGACCTCTGGCAACAAAATAGGCAAAGAAAAGGAAAAATAAGAAAGAAATGAAGTAGGCAGCTCCTTTCCTGCTTCAGCAGCAGAAGGAGAAGGAAGTAGGCCCCAGGCTTCTCATGGGCAACGCTAAATGCTGAAAGATTATGGAACAGTATTTTCAAGATGCTAAGGAGAAGTATTTTGAAGCTGGGGTCCTTTGCCTAGCCAAGGTAGCATTCTTTTGGAGAGGGAAAAAAAGTCCATGCTGGGCATGTAAGGCTTCCAAAATGATCACCTACTGAATTTCTTCTTAAACTTATCTAGGTTGTATATTCCAACAAAACTATCAAAGAAGAGAAAAAGAAGAAAGAAATTACTGGGAATTAAAAGAGAGAGAAAGAGAAGTTCATAGGGAGGTGCAAATAAAAGCCAACATGAAAAGAAGTTTAATTAATAAAATAACCTGGAAATAAACTGCCCAGTGATCTTGACACAGGAGGTGGTATGATGTGGGCTGAGGTGGGCAGGGTGGAGAGGAAAGGGAGAAAGGAGTAAGCAGTTAATTATTAAGAGAAGGATCTAGTCCCTGATTAATTCTCGATTAATTTCTCGACAGAAAAACCTAAGTTTAAATAGGTGTGTTAAAAAGTTCAGAGTAAATGCCTGAAGAATGGAACCGCTAGAGGGAAGAGAGCCCTTGAGGTAAATGGGCAGCTGGAAGAGCAGTCCGAGCAGGCAGAGGACAGGACAAACTGACTAAATGGGGCCACTGTGGGCATGGGCTGCTCCCACAAGAACCCGCCTAGATGAGGGAGATTCTTTCATTATCCCGAGTTTCAGAGAGGCCGCCATCACATAGATGGGCCCCTGTGGAGCTGTCCAGGGTACTGGACTGCTTGGCTCTAAAACTTCATCTTTGTCTCCACTTCCTGCATTTGCTGAAAATAATGGCTCTGGACTTCATCCACCTCTCCTGCCCACCAGCCATCTAGGCCCCTGCCCATGCGCCCTCAAGCACGTCCTGTGTCCCTTCCCAATGTCCCTGTGCTGAACCTGACTGTGACCAAGCCTCGTTCAGTTAGGAACCTACTTTTCTTTCCCTACTTTTTAAGAACAGAATAAAGGAACAAAAGGTTTGGGTTGGTTCTCACCTGCTAGGAGGGAGAAAAATGAAACTAAAGCCCAAGACTCTAATGTCCTTAAGACTGGGATTGCCCATCACCCCTTTCTATCCTCCTCAGCCCAGCCAGTGCCCCAATTCTTCCAGAAGCCTCTGTTCCCCATCCATCGACTTACCATGGAAAGCTCGGTACGCAGAGCCCACACAGGCAGAGTTGGCAGTGTCTATGACATACACTGGGGCGCCAAACACATCCGCAAGTACCTGGAAATGAAAGAGGTTCTTACTGTTGTAAGTTGTTCCTCAGAGGGAATATGAACACCTTGGTATGCATTTTTCCTTTTTTCCTCCCTTCCTTCCTCCCTTCCTCCCTTCCTTCCTTCCTTCCTTCCTTCCTTCCTTCCTTCCTTCTTTCCTTTTTAATTTTTGACAGAGAGAAAGAGAGAAAGAAAGAGAGAGAGAGAGGGATGGAACATGAACAGGAGAGGGGCAGAAGACACAGAATCACAAGTAGGCTCCAGGTTCTGAGCTGTCAGCACAGGGCCCAAGGCAGGGCTCAAACTCACAAACCACAAGATCATGACCTTGGCCAAACTCAGATGCTTAACCAAAGGAATCACGCAGGCGCCACCCCCCTTTTAAAGTTTATTTACTTGAGAGTGAGCACAAGCGAGGGAGGGGCAGAGAGAGGGAGATCCAAAATCCAAAGCCACCCAGGCACCCCACTGACATGCATTTTCTAGGCTCTCTTTCCTCATGTGTCTTCTGATGCCTTCCAGTCCACCTCTACTGCCTTAAAGAAGTATAGTTGGCCATACCACCCTGGTAATAATAGAGTCAGGATGACCTGGGGGGACATCTCTAGTGGAGGGCCACAGCTCTCCAGGTTGTCCCTGCACTATTTAACCATTTTATCAAAGACAAGAAGGAAGATTTAGGAAGTATGCTTAGCCAATGGCCAAGGTGGAGATGGCTGGGTATCAGACTAATATCAACAAGACCAAACAAACCCAAACTAACAAAGGCATGTTTTATAGGGAAAAGGGTAAAATTTCCCATTTAGGTCCCCAAAATAAATTTTATAAATTTAAAATGGAGGACCTATACTAAGAGAAGTTCACGTGGAAAAGACTTGGGAGTCTTAGTTGACCAAAGATGATATAGTGAATGCCACTGATGCCCCATCTGAATCCTGTTACTGGACTGGTGTGCATCCTTCCCCCAGATGCTGTGAGTATCAGCTGCTAATGACTCACAGCTGCCCCTCCTCAAAGGAATTGTTCTCAGCTGAACAGAGGCTGCCCCTCATAGGAGGGTTGTTCTCACCTCTTTCCAGGGTAGCCACTTGGCCCCTTACCCAAGGTGGAACCATGTCTGCCATACAGATCATGTTTCAGATCTTTCCTATGGGATAGAGCTAAAGCCAAAACCAGATTCTTGCTTATCTTTTCCACCTGCCCTACCTGCACCCCTCACTCTCTTTCTTCTGGGAGCACCTTCTCAACAACCCACTTAGAATTCCCATTTCAGGCTCTTCTTCAAGAGAACCTTACCTAAGACAGGTATATTACAATAGTTGATACAGCCTCAGGCTATATCAAAAAATGCTCAATGTCCCAGTAAGATACTGGCAGCCTTATGATGTGATAGCCTGATGGTCAGACATCTGCAAGAGTGGGAAGAGGAAGTCCTTACTAGACAGTGTCTGGGTCTTAGAAATAACTGACATGGAAGAGGCCCTTCTGTTTAGCCTGCTAGCAGCACATACCTGTAATATGTCTCTGTTGTGAGATGCCCCTCCAGTGGCCAAAATCTTTGTCTTGGGCACTGCAAGGAAAAAGAAAAACCTGAATGGATGCAACAATCTCCCCAAGGCAAAAAATACTGTTTTCCAGAGTTCTTTAGCCAAGAAGGGCTTGTGTTCGGCCAATGCCTCTTGTTCATCACACAGGACTCAAGGAGAGATCCAAAGCTGGCTCTGTCCATGCAGGCTTGTCACAACCAAACTTTTTTTCCCTTAATTTTTAGAGAGAGAGAGAGAGAGAGAGAGAGATAGCGGGGGAGAGGGGCAGAGGGGGAGCTCAGCATGGAGCCCAACTTGGGGCTCAATCCCATGACCCAGGGATCATGACAGGAGCCAAAATCAAGAGTCAGACGCTCAACTGACTGAGCCACCCAGGTGCCCCACAGGTTTGTCAGAAGTAATTTGCTTGTCAGGCTGCTGTCCCACTGACCTCTGTCTTCATTTTTTTTATCATTAAAGAACAGAATCTCTCAACAAACCAAGAAGAGAAGGGAACATACTTAAATTAATAAAAGCCATATATCCAACATTTACAACATCACTCTTAAGAAACCAGAAGTATTTTCTTTAAGACTGCTGTGCCTCTCAGACCCCCAAAAATGGATTCCAAATGACCCCTGCCTCCAGATATTTTTACTGTCATGTCATTCCCTCTCACATTCAATAAGAATGACTCATGTGGCCAGTGGGATATTGTGTAAAATGTGGAGTATGAGTTCCAAGTCTAGGTCATGAAGGACACTGAGGCTTCTATTATAGATTACTCTCTTGGATCCCTCACTTTGGGTGCTACCAATTGCCACGTCATGAAGACACTCAAGAAGTCCCCTGGAGATGTCTACAGGGTGAGGAACTGCAGCTTCCTGTCAATAACAATGTGAGCTGGTCACCTGGGAAGGAAATCCTACCCAGTCAAGCCTTCAGATGATTACTTCAGATGACTACTGCAGTCGAGCCTTCAGATGACTGAGCCCCAGATGACATACTGACTTCAACCTTATAAGAGACCTCAGCCAGAACTACTAAGTTATGCTAATCCCAAATTCTTGATCCACAGAAACCATGCAAGATAATAAATGCTCATTGTTTTTTGGAGCTGCTAAGTCTTTTAAAAAATATTTTCTTTAATGTTTATTTATTTTTGACAGAGAGAGAGAGCGAGTGAGCAGGGGAGGGGTAGAGAGGGAAATAGAGGATCCGAAGCAGGCTCTGAGCTGACAGCAGAGAGCCTGATGTGGGGCTTGAACTCACAAACTATGAGATCATGACCTGAGCCAAAGTCAGACGCTCAACTGACTGAGCCACCCAAGCGCCCCTAAGTTTCTAAGTCTTGAGGTAATTTGTTACACAGCAATAGATAACTAATAGTAGGAACAAAACAAAGACTCATACAATCCAGTACACTGTTACATAGTACTAGTGATGTTAGCCATACCTATAAAACAAATAAATACATCAATAAATATTTAAGGATTGAAAAAACAGAAGAAAACTACCATTATTTACAGACAATATACTATATAATTGGAAGAATTTTAAATAAGCAAACTAATTAAAGTTTAATAAGGCTGCCATATACAATAATCAACTTACAATAATCAATGGAATTTTTAGCAATAATCAATTAGTAAATGTGATAGAAAATAAATTACCATTCACATTGGCAACCAGAAATGTAATCTAGTGAGGATATACTTTAGCAAAAAATTCAAAAGTCTCTATGAGGAAAGAAATTGAAACTGTTATTAAAGTACAAAAAGGAGGGGTGCCTGGGGGGCTCAGTGGGTTAAGCCTCCAACTTCAGCTCAGGTCATGATCCCACAGTTTGTGAGTTCGAGCCTGATGTCGGGCTGTGCTGACACCTGGGAGCCTGGAGCATGCTTCGGATTCTGCGTCTCCCTCTCTCTGCCCCGCCCCTGCTCATGCTCTTTCTCTCCCTCTCAAAAATTAATAAACATTAAAAAAATCATAAAGTACAAAAGGGAATATCTAAGTAAATTAAAAGATATTCCATGGTCTTGGATGGGTTTGAATTAATATCATAGAAGTGTTATTTTTTTTTGCAAATTAATCTATAAATTCATTGCAACCTAAATAAAAATTCCAATTGGACTTTTCTTAATTTTTGTTATTTATTTTTGAGAGAGACAGACAAAACACGAGCAGGGGAGGGGCAGAGAGAAAGGGAGACACAGAACCTGAAGCAGGCTCTAGGCTCTGAGCTGTCAGCACAGACGTCAGGCCCAAACCTACGAACTGTGAGATCATGACCTGAGCTGAAGTTGGTTGCTTAACCAACTGAGCCACCCAGGCACCCCTTATTTTCTGTTTTTATAAAAAAGATTTTTCTCTACTATATTTTTTACTTATTTGTAAATTTTTAAATTCTATTTTTACCTTCATCATTTCATTTTATTCTATTTTATTGTATTTTTTTTAATTTTTAATTTTTTTTCTTTATTAATTCCTTTTTTTCCTTCAAAATGATGAAACAGAGGAATTAACCCCAAAAGAAAAAACAGGACAAAATGACAGCCAGGGACTTAACACAGATACAAGCAAGAGGCCTGAACCAGAATTTAGAATCACAATAATAAGAATAGTAGCTGGGGTTGAAAAAAGTATAGAGTCCCTTTCTGGGGAGATAAAAGGAGTAAACTCTAGTCAGGATGAAATTAAAAATGCTATAACTAAGATGAAATCTCAAATCGATGCCATGGCGGCAAGGATGGATGAAGCAGAGCAATGAATCAGCAATATAGACGACAAACTTATGAAGAATAATGAAGCAGAAAAAAAGAGGGAAAGTGAGGCAAAAGAGCACGATATAAGAATTAGTGAACTCAGTGACTCATTAAAAAGGAATAACATCTGACTCATAGGGGTTCCAGAAGATGAAGAAAGAGAAAAAGGGGTAGAAGGTTTATGTGAGCAAACCATAGTAGAAAACTTTCCAATCTGGGGAAACACAGACATCAAAATCCAGGAAGCACAGAGAACTCCCATTAGATTCAACAAAATTCAACCATCAACAAGGCATATCATAGTCTAACTCACAAAATACTTAGGCAAGGAAAGAATCATGAAAGCAGAAAGAGAAAAAAGTCCTTAATCTACAAGGGAAGACAGATCAGGTCTGCAGCAGACCTATCCACAGCAACTTGGCAGACCAGAAAGGAGTGGCAGGATATATTCAATGTGCTGAATCAGAAAAATATGGAACCAAGAATTCTTTTTAAAATGATTTTTTTAACGTTTATTCATTTTTGAGAGATGGAGAGAGACAGAGCATGAGGAGGGATGGGAGGGATGGAACCCAGAGATGGGAGGTCAGAGAGAGAGGGAGACACAGAATCCAAATCAGGCTCCAGGCTCTGCACTGTCAGCACAGAGCCCAATGCAAGGCTCGAACCCACAGACAATGAGATCACGACCTGAGCTGAAGTTGGACACTCAACCAACTGAGCCACCCAGGTGCCCCTGCAACCAAGAATTCTTTATACAGCAAGGCTGTCATTCAAAATAGAAGGAGAGATAAAAAGTCTCCCAGACAAACAAGAGTTTGTGACCATTAAAACAGCCCTGCAAGAAATTTTAAGGGGGACTCTCTTGAGGGGAGAAAAGATGAAAAAAAGAAAAAAAAAAAAAAGACCAAAAGCAACAAAGGCTAGAAAGGACCAGAGAACACCACCAGAAACTCCAGCTCTACAGGCAACATAATGGTAATAAATTCATATCTTTCAGTACTCACTCTAAATTTCAGTGGACTAAGCACTCTAATCAGAAGACACAGGGTAACGGAATGGTTAAGAAAACAAGATCCATCTATATGTTATTTACAAGAGACCCATTTTAGACCTAAAGACACCTTCAGATTGAAAGTAAGGGAATGGAGAACCATATATCATGCTAATGGTCACCAAAAGAAAGCCAGAGTAGCCATACTTATATCAGACAACCTAGATTTTAAAGTAAAGCCTGTAACAAAAGATGAAGAAGGGCATTATATCATAATTAAGGGGTTTATCCACCAAGAAGATCTAACAATTGTAAACAAAGATGTTCCAAATATGGGAGTACCCAAATATATAAATCAATTAATCACAAACCTACAGAAACTCATTGATAATAATACCATAATAGTAGGGGACTTTAACACTCCACTTACAACAATGGACAGATCACCTAAACAGAAAGTCAACAAGGAAACAATGGCTTTGAATGACACACTGGACCAGATGGACTTAACAGATATATTCAGAACATTTCATCCTATAGCAGCAGAATACACATTCTTCTTGAGTGCACAAGGAACATTCTCCAGAACAGATCACATACTGGCACACAAATCAACCCTCAAAAAGATCAAGATCATATCGTGCATATTTTCAGACCACAATACTATGAAACTCAAAATCAACCACAAGAAAAAACTTGTTAAGACAACAAATACTTGGAGACTAAAGAACATCCTACTAAAGAATGAATGGGTTAACCAGGAAGTTAAAGAAGAAATTAAAAAGTAATGGAAGCCAATGAAAATGATAACACCACAACCCAAAACCTCTGGGATGCAGCAAAGGCGGTCATAAGAGGAAAGTATATAGCAATCCAGACCTTCCTAAAGAAGGAAGAAAGGTCTCAGATGCACAACCTAACCATACACCTGAAAGAGCTGGAAAAAGAACAGCAAATAAAACCCAAAACTAGCAGAAGACAGTAAATAATAAGGATTAGAGCAGAAATCAATGCTATCGAAACCCAAAAAACAGTAGAACAGAACAATGAAACCAGTTTCAAAGAACCATGTTTAAAAGAATTAACAAGATTGATAAACCCCTAGCCAGTTTGATCAAAAAGAAAAGAAAAAAAAAAGGACCCAAATAAATAAAATCATGAATGAAAGAGGAGAGATCACAACCAACACTGCAGAGATACAAACAATAATAACAGAATATTATGAGCATTATACGCCAATAAAATGGGGAATCTGGAAGAAATGGACAAATTCCTGGAAACATAT